ATTCCATTCCAGGACATAACTTAGTGGATATTGTTAGTCTTGACAGTTTGACGATTTGCATTGACAAATAAACCACAAGCAGGGTTCTCAGTGAACATTAAAACATCAAAAAGTTTAACTACTTCAAGACGTGTGGTGATTGGCACCATCCGTTACGCAGAGCTGGAGCTTTGTGTGGTGTGTGTGAATGAAAAGAGTGGAAAATGGCTTCACCCTGAGCCATGGTTCTGCTCGAGGTTTCTGCCTGTTAAAAGGAAGTTTTTCCTTGCCTGTGTCGCCTAGTGCTTGCTCATGGTGGGAATTGTTGGGTTTCTGTAAATAACTTCAGAGTAGGGTCTGACCTGCTCTGTCTGGAAAGCGCTGTGAGACAACTGTTGTTGTGATGTGGCGCTATATAAATAAAATTGAATTGAATTGAATTAAAAAATGCAACACAGCTGTATAATATACATAAGTTAAGAAAAAACTAATAAAACTATTTATATGTCTCTGCTTTTGAGACAAGGCCGTGTTAGTGCATGGCAGTTATGTAAGAAAAGCGGACTTGATGGGAAACATTTTTGTGTCAAGGACAATGAAAAATGAGTCTCGGACAAAAAGCCCAAAAAGTGAACGTGAGAACAGTTTTCAGTGGACAATCAGCATTAATCTAGATTAAATGCAGGCTAATCTATAAGGGGGCATGCTGGTTAATAGCTGCTACTTCATGGCACAGAGGGATTTCACTCTTGTTTTCTCTATATCTCTAAGAGAAAGAGCACTGCTCATCTAGTGTCTCAGATTCCGAAAAATCAACTGTGACTTGTTTTTACAGGGGGGTTTTCCTACACTGGCCTAAGTGTGTTTTGATATTTTTCAACCTCAGTTGACTCGAGACTGTGTCGTGCAGTTCTCTGATCCTGAGAACTTGCCCAAATAGTAAGACTGTGTGGTGATTTTGCGGTGTGTCAAATCCTGTGTGTCTGATCGCTTTTTCCCATGTGGCATCACACCCTCGCACAGGCTAGCGAGAGTAATATGAGTCTCAAGCTCCCCCGAAGAAGTCGAAATCCTCTCCACATCCCCCCCCCCCTGTTCCCATAAGTCTCTGACATAATGTTATTTTAGTCCCTGTTCAAGAGGAGTCATAACCCGGGGACTCTAAATATTACCTAGTTGGACGCTCTCATAGCTTGAATGTCCCAGTTTTGGTCATAAAAGCTTGTGTTTTTCCCTCTAAGGAACACAAAAAAAAAAAATTGGAACATTAATCCTTTGGGCATATATATCACTATAAAAACGTCAGTTCAGTTACCTCAGTTCACACGAGGATAGTGTCATTAATCATGGAGTCTTGGCTACCAAACAAACTTGGAAGATTTATACTTTAGTGATTCTGTTTTCCGTTCGTTGAGTTACAAACTTCTAAAAGTTTTCCAGGCACGTGGGAGTTTTTGGAAGAAAAAAAGGATGTGGCCCTTTAAAATCTGCAGAAAACTCCTCTGTGGTCACCAGTATTCTTTACATGCTCTTTGCAATTAAACTATTTCTCCAGAATCCTTCTATCCCTGAGGAAACCAATTGGTATCAATGAAGTTCCATCCAATCAAATCTCTAATCTAAAGTGTAGCATTTCTGTTAAATGTTAGAAGAAGGAGAATTGAGGTCACATGATACAGTTTTATAAGACGAAGAGACTGGGTAAAGCCATCATCTTGAGAAATGAGTTTGATGTCAAACAAAAAGGCGCTTTAAGCTGTGTTTAGTCTTGCCCTTCGTTGGCATAGCTTGATAATAGGGCTCTGAGAATTTCAGGATATGCATTGACGTGCAGCCTTTCAAGCCCAAACTGTGGTCTCTAAATGTAATGAGATACCTTAAGCAGAAAGAAAAGCCCTAAAACATGCACCATCGGGGCAAAGAGAGATTCCCCGCAGGATTTAGGATCATATTTAGCAAAGACTTCTGTATCCCGCATACAAATCGCTCCCATACGTACTAAGAGATTGAGGTCAGGGGATTGTCCATACGGTGTCATGCCAACAGTCTACTACAGCTAACGCACCAATTGCCTCTAGTTGACAAAACACAAATGTATGCAGAACGTTGCTCCCACTTCGAAGTATTTTGAATTTCTGCACATTTACTAGAACAAGCATTTCATAGTTAAATGTGAACCATGAACCAAATTGGACAAAAGTAAAGCCTGTGGCCGATATCTGCTCTCTCACTTATTTTTTGGCTCCAAGGTAGACTGACTGGAGAAAAGGAATGCCAGCTGGGAATGTATTTCTATCTCTGTTTTATTGTAGCCCTCTAAGTTTACCTGCTACATAAAAAAATGCCAACAGGAGCCTTACAATTCGACACAAGCTTTTAGCATGAGAACAAGTTGTAGCTTCATCAAAATATATATTTAAGCCACTCACGCAAAACCTTATGACATATCTCTCAGCACAGAAATATATTTGCATTTTCATTGTGTCCACACAAACACATGCACTGACTGCAGCTAGTAATAGAAAAATCTTGAATATTACTCATATTCAATAAATATTACCCATAAAAAGTACATATATTGGCATGTAAGCCACAGTACACCTGTTATGTTAAATCTGTTCATAAGACAGTCACAATATAGCATATCCCTATTATTACTGTTTTCTATGGAGCCCTGCTGATAACATTTAGCAATCCCACACAATACCTTGCTATTGACTTTGCCCTGTCACACAATAATATATTTATATTTCAGACCGATCGCAAAATAAAACGTTACAAACTTCTCCAAAGGGTGTGGGTTCTCCGTTGTGTCCACGCTGACACAAACCAAAGAGTCTTATTGCGAAGGCACACAAAAGTATTGCGTGCACAACATAACAAATTAGAAATTCCATTTAAGACGTAAATTAGTTGAAAAGCCATTTGAGAGTTGTGTTAAGAGTAGTTTAACCCTTTAAAGCCCGATCCAAGAAAAATAGGAAGAATTTTGGATTTTTTTGGTCTGAAGTCTTTCTTTGGCCCCTCAAGAAAAAAAACTGAAATTATTTTGATCAAATTAGTGTGCAATAAGTCAAAAATATATTTCCCTGTAGTCTTCTACTGGCTGTTATCAGGTATGTCCGAAGGTGTACAACAGGGGTTTGAGCAAAGCTTTTACCATTGAATGATGCAAAAAGTCTCAGATCCAAAATACTTCAGAAACAGTATGAATCAAATATGATACATTTGACATTATAGGGTTAAGCATAAGGTTGTTTTCCTGCTTGTCCCCAGACACAGTTATGATGTTTGAGTCCCTGAAAGAATCTTGGATTGAGAAAGAGAACTATGATTCAGATCTTGGCTTTATACATTGTTGAAAGAAAGACATTGTAATTAGAGAAACAAGAATATATGCCTCGATAAAGATATTTTTCCAAGGTTTATCAATTTTAAAAGCACATCTCATTTTGGCAGAATCATAAAGTTTCCTCTCGTTGACAGTCACAACAAGTGCTTTTCACTAAAACCAAAATTAAGTTTGGCTATGTTGTGTATTCTATTCAACATACCCAAATAAGAGCATACGTAAGGCTGTGTTATTAAAAACAGATTACCTCAAAATGAACTGGTCCAGCAGGTTAGCAATGATCGTGATTAAGTAGACCGGCCATACAGCTTAACCCTAGCATTATAAAATATAATTGCTAATAGTGAGCCTGAACTGAGATTGAACATTTTAGGATCATCAATCAACGCAAATGGGTTGAATGAATAATAGAAGAATGATCAATTTTTAGGTGTAGGGGGTTAGAAATATTGCCCGCTTGTCTCTGATTGAGATCAGGAGAATGAAAATATGTTTTATTTGGAGTCAGACGAGCCTGGAAACCAAATGAGGTATCATTCCAGGGGTGATTTGGACTGAAAAACTACAGTGAAGTGAGAGTTTAAAGATGTTATTGTTCAGAAATAATTACTGTGAATCCAATCCAGATCCCTTAGACCCAAGAAGCACACACCTTAACATTCAACATAGACACAAAGGTTTTCAATTCAATTCAGTTTTATTTGTATAGCGCTAAATCAACAATTATCTCACAGCGCATTTCAAAAAGAGCAGGTCCAGACCATAATCTGAAGTTATTTACAGAGTTATTTACAATTCCCGACAATTAACAGAGGCCCAAAGGTGATCCATACACATGATTTTTAACATCATGGCTCTTGAACCTATCCTGGAACAGCTTCATATCTGGTAAGATTTGCACGCTATCACTGAAATAAAGATTATTTTCAACTGCTACACCCAAAATTTTACTTCTCCAACACCATCTGTTTCATGGATTTTATTCAATGATATTGGATCCATTTGTCATATACCATGTTCAGGCTTTAACTAAATAGATAAATTCAACATAATAATGACAAAATGATCTTTTTAATTAAATATTCTATGAGGAAATCATAAGAGGAGAACAAAAAATGTGCTAGCTGACGTCAATGTGGGTGTAAAAAAACAGACTATACCAAATCTAAAGTCAATGTTTAGATTTATGGCATTGCATTTGTTTGTATTGCTCTTCTCCCCTTAGGAATATGACTGTGATGCGATAGTGTACACATTCTAAATTTAAACCCAGTGTAACCGTCAGTTAAGTCTCCACTCAGCATCCATCACCACAGCAGCTGGTGGGGTAGGCACGTTCCCCATTAGCAGCCTCCTGAAACTCCCATTAATTATGACTGGAGGACGTCGGAGCATTTCACCATCGTGTTTACCCAAGGAAACGAAATCAATTAAAAAGGACGACATCTCGTTCGCTTTTTTCTAAACTGACGATAAGATTGACTTTTGAGATCGAAAGTCTTCAGAAAATTATTTTCAAAGAGGCACATGGTTGATGTTCAGTTACAAACCATCCACTGGTACTCGTTTGGCCTCTTGACTTTTTTTATTAGTGTTGGAGTGGCACTTCTGGCACTGGGCTGTGGAGATGACTCGGTGTGAAAGATGTATGCGGTCATTGTTCAAGACCCTTTATAACGCCGATCTGCGTCTTTGTGTCGAGACGCAAACTTGAGTAGGGAAGCATCTGTGCTTATTATAAAAGGCCGATCTCGGAGGAAACCTTTCAAGGCTAAAAGCGAAAGTTTGGGTGAGTAGGTGCTTTCGACCTCTGCTCGGATCTTGTCATTTTCCCAGTTTCCAACATCACTGCCGCTTTTAAATGTATTTTATTAACATCTATAACATTTATAACATCTCTGTGTCAGGGGCAGCAGACTCGTCTTCGTTTGAGATGAATCATGTGAAGAAGTTTCAGAGTATTCCCATGTCAAAGGTGTGTTAAAATGGACTTCAAATTTACAAATTTAAAAGTCATAACAGACCAAACAACTGTAACAGATGTAGTATTTTCCCTTCATAACTTACTATCTTTTTTAAATATGAAGTTAAAGTTCAAGACTAAATGAGATCCTTAGTGAATCTTTTTTATTGTTGTCATAATGCCATAACCAAAAGAGATTAGATTTTTTTTTTTAATCTATGATAGATGTTAAGAAACAGGCTGACTAGACTAAAAGGTTAATTGTGAAATGATGATAACTTTGAGTTGATTGTTACCATAAAAATGTCAGAGCACAAGAAGAAATTGTTTTACCTGTAGGCTAAAAGGTTCTTTCAGATTGTTGCACTAAAACTTAACAACAGCTTGTTGCTGAAAGAGTCCTATTAACATCCCACTAGAGACATTGTAGTGGGAATCACAACTAAGTGGAGCATAGGGCATTGATTTAATTTATATATCCAGGAGAAATATCTTTTTGTGAGAGACTGTTGAATATTATAACACTGCAATACCTTTATGATTTGTTTGTTTGTTCATGGGACATCTATGCTGGATATTGATGTGCTTTCATGTCAGGTTTCCTGCCCATAACTAGCTAATTTAGACTCTCCGACTTCAAACCTAACAACAACTGTTGTTTTATACAGCAGTAGAAACAATTAAAGTACACACAACAAGTATTTTATTAATATCTACCCCAAATAAAGCCTGGATCTCATGGATTGAAGGAGATACAGCAGCAACAAGCAGATAATCCTGACTTTTATTCAGCCAAAAATCTAAGAAACCTGAGTGACTTGAGGTATGAATGTAAAACAATGATACAACGCAATGTTTTGCATTAGACAGATTTGTAAGAATAATAATACACCTTTAAAGAATCATATTACACATCAAAATACTTAGAATAACATTGTAATTGTGCATATTGATTATTTAAATCAATGTTTAAAATCCTGACAGACATATTGATCTCACATTGGTAATGGCCACTTAATCAACAATAGGTCCATTGGTTCAGGTGTCTCCTTGTTGTATTATATTCGGTCAATACTATTGTTTCCTTTTTTACGATTTATCAGACCTTGTAAGACAAGGCTTGTTATTGGTTTGGAGGTTGTTTAACAGACTTTGGCAGCAGCCATAAATCTGTCTGGCCAAGAGTTTGTCATATATGCCCAGTCTGAGCCAAATACCGGCCATTAAGAAAGCTCATGTTAAACTGGGAATAAGATTCTCTCTACCAACCAGTACTCTCCAAATGCTTTGGGTCCCCTCTTATTACATTTCTTTTAAATATTCTGCGAAGAATAAAGGCTTTCTAACCAAAAATATAAGTGGTGGTTTCCATAATTGATGTGGAAATCCTTGGCTATAGAAATGATGAATGCTTTTACTCATAACATGTCTTGCAAAAAATCGTAGACATGTTTAGGAAGGCTAAGACATTTTTTTTTAGTCTAAACTTAAAATGATTTTTGTTTAAAATTGTGAATATATGCGAGTTCAACCATAGTTTAAGTCGCCAAATGTATAGTTTTGACTGTTCATTTCTCCTCTGTCATAGAAAACTTTGAAAATACCTGTAGTACGGATGGTTTGATTGCACTAGATTTGAATAAAATAGATAAGAAATCGGAATGATACTAACACAATCTGCTCTTCTGGTTGTAGTCAATGAGGGGTCTGTGCAAAGAAGAAGACTACGCCTTTCTGGGAACGTCAAAAAACACGAGCGAAGACGCCGGAGAAAGGCGGGACACTTTGGAGGATGAATTGCTCAGTAAAAAGGAAGAGCGGGTAAAAGATCTCGACAAAAGAGATTGACAAACCACAACGACACAATTGCTTTGCTCCACTTGCGATTTTCAGGAGTGTATTCATGGGCGTGTGTTCCAGGTCCTGAGGCGGTTGGAATGGGAGAAACAGGAAAATGACAGACTCAGAGCAATAGAGGAAAGTAAGAAGGTAAATAAACACACACACACACACACGCTGGTGATAGATGCTTTTACAAGTCTATTCATATCAAAACTTAACAAGCCTGGGACTCAATGTGAGGACGCACCATCATTTGGAGGGCCAATTACCGCGCGTTCGTGATTAACTGGTTTCCAACTGACAGTTTCTTTGAATGAGAATCGACGCGGCCTTGTTTTTTTTTTTTTTCGGTATACGCATCCAACATTTCCAAACGGCTTGGAAAGGTGCGCGGGACATGCCGTGAGACCGGGCTGTTAATATTCGGTCGGATGGAAAGAGTCGAGCAGTCGACTCTGGATCGATGAGCGTTAATTCACCGTCGAGGTTCACCTCGTAGCTCAGGGCCAAATCCGATTCACTTCCATGGAAACACTGGCCCCGTGTCAAGACTGCCAGGCTCATCAGTCACTCTGAACCATACAGATACACACACAAAACAAACACACACACACATATAGACACTTTGGCATTTTGGAAAAATTTAAATAAAGAATTTGTCTTTATCATTTGGATTAATTGAGAATAGCACATGCATACAGAGTTGGCAAAACAGGCGGTCATCCTAATGGACGTGGAATGCACACACACACACGTGCAAAAAACAGCCGTGGATGCTTTGTGCGGACGCCCCATTTCTGACACGAGTGTGTTAGGTCAACCGGGGCTGTGGCTGCTGGGTTACAGCTGCCAGAAGTAAAAAAAAAAAAAAAGAGAACAAGGAGGCAGGAAGCTGGTGACAGTGTTTACTGTTTCAGAGAGAACCGTTTCACTCTCACCTCAGCGTTGGATTGTACTTTCCACTGAGTCCTAGCATAACTCCAGCGCACACACATACACACACCAAACACACACACGAACCTTTAACACATGCACACTGTCATGGACTTACAGATTCATGGAAGAAGATCAAACCCTTTTAAAAAACAATTTTGGGGATTGGTTATGTTGGAAGCAGAAGGGATATACATATACAATCTGTTTGATACACAGAAGTATTAACTCCCCCTAAAAGCTCACAGCGCCTCCTAGAGGAGCCTGCTGTAACCATACGACTCAATCACATCACACACACACACACACACACACACACACACAGATGGAAGAACGCATTAACAGCTGCTGCAAAGAAGAAGCCTGAACCAGAACACACACCCAGGGCCAAATCTCACACTCATTAGCAAAATGCCATAAATGAGACGGATGAATTCCATAGCCAGTTTGGTGACTTAGCATCTACTTTAGCCATGTCACGCAAAAAATCTGACCATGAGCCCAGATCAATTACTTAATGCACAATCACTGCACACTTTAAATAAAAAAAAATCAAATTTAAAATTTCAGAAAATAGAATATTAGGATAATCCGGATAAGGCCCCTGATTTTAAAAAGTCATAGGATGCTTTATGTATAAGGTATATTGTTTTTTTACTACTGAATATTTTTTACATGTTCTTCTGGAGGGTATATGCAAATATTACTTTTTCTTTCCCAGCCAGACAGAAAGGTCGATTTCTTTGCAATGTAGTAACCACATGAACCATTTGATACCTTCTGTTCGAAGCCTAGGACTTCATAAATGGCTCTGGAAATGACTTGCAAAAGTAATTAGAACCAGTAGAACTGCTGGTGCCCAATGGGATTTCCTGAAAACTCTCGGGATGATTTGCTTGCCCCATAAAACCTTAAACTTCCACAATAACAACCTAACTTGTTTGTCATAGACGACTTAAATGACACCATATCAATACATAGGATGGGTTTAAACAAATGATAGCCCTAAGCAGTCACTTTTTTGGCACATAGTTTCCAGAAAACATTAACCAGCCAGCTATTTTTCTACCTTTGACAGAGTGAATGTTTATAGCTAATTACACCCATTTTGTTCAGATTTGTGCATATTTTGGCTCGTTTCCCCTCTAATGGGAATGTGACACGATGCACCCTTCCTCTATTTTCCACCATCAGATTACCAGATTTTTCCTTACACTTGTCATGTCATAAAATACCCTCGTAAAATGTCTTCTGGACATTCATCCATCGAGTTCACTGTTGTTACATCTGGGTTCGTTTTCACTGAATAATTGTCCCCAGTTAGACTCCTGCAGACAGTTTATCTGTTCAAGCTGATGATTCTCTGACTGATCTGAGCACAGGTCCAGCCAGATGGCCAATTTAAGGTATTTTGGTTAAATTATTCCAATGCTCAAATGCGTAGTTTCAATTAAAGGATTTAGACAAATGTATTATTTTCAATGAAAATTGCTTTAGCATTGACCAAGAAGTGGTCCAACATTTTTTTTTATTTTTATAAACCACCAATATGAAGGGGTCTTTGAGGGTCAAAGGATGGTTTAAAATGTCCTCTCAAGGCTTTAGACATTAAGAGTATTATTTCTAAATCATGGCTGGCAGACTGCAGTCATCTTTGTTGTAAAGTTTGTAGTAAAGTTACACTTGATGTTTGTTCCATCTATAAAAGCCTTCAGGGTTATGGAATTGAAGCAAAGGATTTGGATAAGAAAATGCCCTTTAATCATTATCATCTTAGTATGTCCACAGTATATATTTAAAACAATCTGCCTTTTTTTTCTATACAAGAACCCCTAATATCATCAATAGACTTAGTATGGAACCTTTAATGTGAGATTTTGAGTCAGGGTCATTATCTCATGAGCTGCATAAACGAGAAAAAACTAGATGTTTTCCTCAACCTAACCTTTACCTTAGGTTTAATTTCCAAAACCAAGCTATGTATAGTTAGTGTGATGCCTTAACTTAATGAAACAGCCAGTAAATAGTGAATAAAGAAGTGGGTACAAACCCAAAACCTGGCATCTCAGGGAGAAATTGTGCACATGTCAGAAACAGGAAGCCATTTAGCTAAAAAGGGTAGATTTGATGACTGGGAATAAAAATAAACTGCCATGTTTGGGTTTTTTAAAAAGTGGTAGTTCAGCTTCTTGATTTGTCGAGTAGGACTTAAAATGCTTTTATCTCGTCTCAATTTATATCCATGTTTTCCTCTTTAAAACTACTGACATAAAACTAAATGTCTCCCTTGCTCACATAAATATCCTTATGCATTACAGCTGTCAACACACACACATTTGTGCACACGCACAAGTTCAAAGTATGACAGAAATGTTAATTGATGACAGACACGGCTCGTTTGGAGCAATTGGCCCTGGACATCTCACATGTATCCCATGTCAAGCTTTTTCCAAACAAGCAGAAACGATTTCTGGATTTCTCTGTCATACGCATGATTTTTTTTCTTTTCCCCCCTTGAAAAACACACAAAGCCGTGGAAGGAAACAGGATCCAACAGAGTCCAATTTGAGGTCCTAGCACTTGTCATCACTCACACAAACACACTTAACACACCTACTTGAGACCCTTGGGTCCAGCCTCTGTAGGATTTGAGTTTCTGTTGTATAATTACATGTTTTCAACCTCAAAAATGGATCCAAGTGGCTTTCAGATATTACATTAGATTAGGTGTGGAGGACTTTGGGTGTCGATTTCCTTTTTTTTCTCCCCAAGAAAAGCCTTCTGCTTGATTTTGTTTGTTAATATATAATGTTATGTAAGTTTCATATGTCACACACTATATATTCTCACATGGGTTGACGGATAGAAGGCGATATGTTTTTGTTTCAGGAAAAAGAGCGACAGTGGCGGATTCATATAGCGGAGCTTACCTCCAGTCAGGAAAAAGCTCTCCAAGACAGACTGGAAAGACTCCGGAGATTCAGGGTAAGAGTCTCAAACACACACACGCGAACGCACAAAATGCGGTGCATTGATTCTGGAATAAATTTGATGAATGCTAACACAATGCATATAAACATGTTGGCCAAAATAACACATTGTGAATTTAAATCCGATGCTTATTATTCCATTACATGGCATGTAGATTACACTTAAATGGATGTGTTATTATTTCATGCCAACATGAGTCCTGTTTTTCAAAAAGTTAACTCTATTTCATGCATATTGGATTAGATTTCCGGGATATGCTTAGTCCAAAATAACACAAAATTGAGTGCTACAGTTTCTTTTACAGCCACTAAATTAAACAATTGACATTTACCCGTTACTCCGGCAAAAGAGCCAGTAATGGTGCATTTAATGGCACATTAGAAGTGAAAGGGACTGACCACTGACTCTTGATACATGACGAACTATCAATGGTCCATTTTCTTTTGTTCAAAGTATTACTGAAAGTCAAAGTAAACTTGGAATTTCTATTTTACAACTGAAAAAAAAACTAAAATAATTTCTGACAGGAGCCGCAAAAAGCTGATCCCTTTTGTTCTGAGAACTCCCGAGAAGGTTCATCTAGAACCCTTGAAATCCTTGTGGTATATTTAAAAACCTGTGGGGGACCAATCACCAGACTCCAAACATACACTCTGCAGCACAGAAAAATAGTATTTGTTTCCCTTCAAAAAGTGTTTTTTTTGTTGGTTAATTATCTATCTATCTATCTATCTATCTATCTATCTATCTATCTATCTATCTATCTATCTATCTATCTATCTATCTATCTATCTATGTACATCCCACATTATATAGTCTTTGATTGTTTTATTGAACCCGTTTGATGCTGTTAATGTAAATAAACGACTGAAGTAAGAATACAGTTATTTGTGTGAAGAATGTGGAACAGACGCACAAAGTGGGAGGACCAGTGGCCTCTTGGCCCCTTTACTTCCTGCACCCTTCCTCAGCGTCATCTAAATCTCAAACTACTGATGTCAAATCGAGCATCTGTCAGACTTTTCACGCTAAGTCGTACAGTCATCAGGACTAGATTGATCAAAACAGAGAGTTCTAGTGTTTCAAAGCTCCTAGAGCACAGATGAACCTTTTCAGAGAAGCTCATGGACTTCATCTTGCCTCTGATTGGTCGCAGGTCAAATTCATTCAGGTGCTGGTTAAAAAAGTCCTGTCAGACCACGCTTTTAGCCCGTAGGTTGATTTTACTTAAGTGGAAAGATTCTCAACCCCCTTCACACGCCCGCTGGATTCCAGAGGTGCTTTACAACCTCAAAGTGGAGAAGTTGAGGTTTTCTCTTAGAGGCTCCATCAAGTTATTTCAGGCTACATGGGACCCTTTTCTTAGATATTTTGACTCTTTGAGTCTTCTTGACCCTGAGAATACTTGAAAGTCTAACATGATCTCTACTTATCTATCTACATTTACTGTACATTCATGTCTACTCTTTCTGATCTGTTTTTCTCTTTATACTTTTTATTTTTATTTATACATTTTTCTTATGATCTTTTTTTTTATTTTATTTTTTTATTTATTTTTTTTATTTATTTTTTTTCTTTATTTTTTCTTTATTTTTTCTTTTTTATTATTTTATTTTTTTATTATTCATTTTTTCATTTATCTATTTTTGGGCCTGTGGGTGGATTGGGGGTTGACAGAACCGTGACATTGAGATTATATTGACACTTTGAATTTGTCCCAACAATGTCTGTCTTATGTTCAAAATGTTCAATAAACAAAGTTAAAAAAAAAAAAAAGTCCTGTCAGGAGCTCTTCAAACGTCAGGTTATTTTAACTTTACCCACTAATCTCTGTAAAGAGAAAGATGAAAAATATGTGTCATGTTTTTTTTGTCCTTATGTTGCCCCAGACTTTATTTTCTGTCTTTTCTTTTTCTTTTTCATTTTTCTGGCGCTGGAACTCAAGTTCAAGTTGGGTCATAAAGCGAGATATCCTTTACTAAATAAACCGTTCGCAGCTTAACGCTCCTTTTTCTCCCCCCTGCAGGAGTTCCAGAGGAAGGTGTTGGGGGACGAGGAGGGGATGGAGGTCCAGGTCCTCACCAGGATGTAGAAGCTCCACAGGACCCCTCATTTACCGTTGTAACCATCATATTAGCTACAGCATAAACAATGGATGTAATCCCTAAAGAGACACTATTTCAACAGCTTTTCACATAGAAAAAAGCATTGATTTATGCTGTTGTGACTTGTTCAATTGCTCAGAGTAATGGTATATTAAAACGTATTTATTTAAAATGGTAATTAACTAACTGATGGGTTTAATTTCTCAGCACAACGCACTTTAAGGCAGACAATATGAAATATTCATTGAAGTGGAGCATTTTGAAAAGCTTGGGAATCGAACTGGTAGAAAGGTTAAAACAAATGTTTCGAAACAACAGATTTTAAAAAATCTTGTTGGCTAAACCTGTACAATTTATATGGTCTACATTTCCATTTGGATTCGATAAAAGTATTAATTTAATGTAAATATTCAGTCATTTAAATCCATTCAAGTCAAAAATCAAAGACATATACAGAGCTGTACAAACATGAAAAATATATATACTACTATATACTATATACTTTATTCATTCATTCATCCATGCTCCTAAATCCTAGCATGGTTTTCCTAACAGGGAAAAAAAGATTAGATCTCGGTGTGCAATTTCTCACATATTCTACGTGTCGAATTATCATCAGGCAGAATTAATCATGCTAAATGTACACAATCCTTAACTGGCAAAAAGGAATTGATGAGGTTAATAAAAGCATGTCGTTAAGTTTGTAGGCTTTCCTTGATGTTCCCCTTATCTGACTCATAATTTTTATTGCTTTTGTTTTACCTACTTGGTTTACTTCTGAATATAATTTTTGTGAGTTCCTGCTGAATTATCACAGTGGTTGTAAGCACTGGTTTTCACAGAAAATATCTTAAATGATAGTAGGCCTTTTAAAAACAAAACCTTAATAGACACAGCACAGTAAATATCATAATACTATAGTAAATATGAAGAAATAGCTCAGAAATTTTAGCAATTAAAAAATAAAGTGCCCTTTGTGTGGAAGGTCTTGAAGATAGTAATTTGAATGGACTGTAGTTACAATATTATTACACTTTTTAAACATTTCTGTGTGTCCGCTGGTGCTTAATACAGACTTTAATGGGAAAATGTTAACCTAAATCATGTATCTTAGTGACTAGTATTAGAGGGAAAGAAAATGAATTATTCTTAGCCTGCAACATTATATTTTATTGTGGCCTTTAACATTCACCTTCAGGAACTAGGTGTACACAGTAAAATGTACATGTGCAATTTATAAATATAATAAAATCCTAGCGCAGAAACCTTTTTTGTACTGGGTTGAGTTGAAATAAAAAAGGTGCTCATGTTTTATTAATTTAGAGAATAAACATCTACTCAAAACTGCTATAGCACGATACCCTAAAAAAGCAGTTAAAAAACAAAAAAGCTACTAAAGGAACTGATCTGAACTGAAATATCATCATCCAGGCTCTAGTCCTTTATTATTAGAGAGGACAAAGCAGAGATGAGTCAAATTAAGCTTTGTATTCTTTTTTGTATTTCCCACTTAAATCTAGATATTATTATAAAAATAAACATAGATGGGAGAAATAACTGAATCAAAATGCTCCCTACTGCTGTTTTTTTTTTGCCCCGTGTGAAAGAAGGAGGCCATAAAACCTCGTTTAAACAATTTTTTCCACAGGAATTTACTTGAAATGTTTCACGCCTGGTAAGGAAATGATGTTGTGCTTAGGCTATGAGGGATTTCTACCACCGGCACACACTGACACACACTCTTGTGCACACACTCTTCTGTGTGAGTGTGTATTTTACACATCTGTGGGCCAAGTGTTCCTGTCCTGTTAATGTGAGAAAAAGGGTCTGGCTGTCTAATCAGGGTAGAAAAGGAGGAGGCATCTTTTGAATCTTCAGGGTCAGTCTGGAAGATATGAATAACAGACTCGTTCTCTCTCATTATCAGAAATAGTCTGGCAATAACCGATCTTGTCTTGAAAATAGCGAGAGACGATTTACTAACCGACATTTTTTTGCTTAGAAGCGAACATAGGCCTCACAGGGTTATGTGATATACACAGGTTTGCTGGTAGGGGCATAGGATTTGGTCTAAGACAAAAAAAAAATCAACTGCCATAATCATATTTCCCAGAACACTTTTCTTTGACCTCGTGAGAAAATTGTCGCAGGCTTAAGGAGAAAAATCAAACAGACTTAGGGAGAATTTGCCATCCTGTAATAGGAAGTCCTGACTCTACAAGTCCTGAATCATCCACAAGATGATCCAGTGAATTTCTGACTCCTGTGGAAGATCGTAAATGAATCATCATATTACAATGTAAAAAAAAAACAAGAAAACTTACAACAGTTCTTACAACAGATATTTTCAGGCTCATCTCATTTAGACAAAAAAAGCACAACATGTCTTCAAATAGTGAGGACAGGTTCAACTTCCTGTGTCATCCCTTCTTTTTTTTTTTTTAAAGACAGTCTAAAAATGCCTGTGAACTAAGCAAACCAAATCCTGGACATTTGGGGGTGAAATCTAGTCCTAACTTGTCTGACTTATAATATGGATGGAATCAACTGAGTACCATAACAAGGCCTAACCATAACCAAATTCATCCCCAAACAAGAGAAAATGAAAGCCTTAACCCTCCAAACATGACCAAATTGATCCCCAAACAAGACAAAATGAAAGCTTTAACTATCCAAACATGACCAAATTGATCCCTAAACAAGACAAAATGAAAGCCTTAACCCCTCCAAGCATCCGTTTTGACCCGAAATCCCTTTAATTACATTGTAAGTTCTTTAAAGAACAGAATGGCAGCATGGTGGGTTCCCGGTTTGATCCTCAGGTGAATGGAGGTTTGCATACTCACCCCCATACTCCAGCTTTCTCACACCTGTCCAAAAAAGATGCACGTTAGGTAAAACACACACAAAAAGTAGCAGGAGGAATTTCTTTTTTAAATAAAAAAAAAAATCCAAAATCCTATATGCAGCAAATAAATAACCAGTATATTGCACAATCGTAAAATACATTTTATCTGCCTGGAGAATGATTTAAAATCCAGATGTCAGGGTTAACATCTGGTGGGTTTTTTCTCTGATTTGAGATGCCAACGTCTTAAAAATAATTGCGACAGCAGGTAAAATCAACCCAGTTCTCAGTTTTTGGTTTCTATTTATGGAAATGGACACAAAAAGGAAGGGGGAACAGAAAGAGTGAATCAGGGGAAACTCTCAAAAGACTCACAACACACACACACACACACCCTGGTCTCACACTTCAAAGCCGACGTATTGACACAGATGGACGCACAAGCAGGGAGTGTCCCTACCTATGCGTGGGTTTGACTCCATACGGGTGTCAAAGTTCCTCCTTTTGTGCGAAAAACGCTCTCACACAAGTGCGCAAACACCGCACATTGTGCGTGTGTGCGATTAAGCGGTGGGTCTAGTCGTCATTTGTGTCCCAGGTGTGGCCCGGGGCACAAACCAGACCGGCCCATAAAAAAATCCCCGTCGCTCCTATAGAAGTCTTTCATCGGCACGTAACAAGGGGGAGAAACACACAAAAGACGTTGAAAGAGATGCAAAGAGTTGAAAACTTGATTTTCCAGTGTGTCAGACGAGAGACGATGTACACAATGCACAGTAAAAGCGTACTTTGATTACTCAGTTATGCAGAAATATGAACCCTGTACCACCTTTTGCACCGGCCTATTTCAAAGTTCAAACAATTGTTAAAAGTCTCTCACGTTCCTCAGATTTGATGGACACATTCTTCACATTCCATTTTCCTGCTTTTTTAAAAAATATATTGCTGTTATTCTATAAACAAAACTCATATTTAGTGTTCAAAGTTACATTTACTGGTTTAAATGATGCACTTTCAAAAATATATTGCTGTTATTCTATAAACAAAAACTCCTATTTAGTGTGTAAAGTTACATTTACTGGTTTAAATATTGCACTTTAAAAAATATATTGCTGTTATTCTATAAACAAAAACTCATATTTAGTGTTTAAAGTCACATTTACTGGTTTAAATGTTGCACTTTCAAAAATATATTGCTGTAATTCTATAAACAAAACTCATATTTAGTGTTTAAAGTTACATTTACTG